ATATGACACTGAATAAAAATTGGTGCCCTACAGGTCTTACTTTTGGACCGGCCACGGGCCTATGATTGAGTAGGCCTAGTAGGCCTACCTAGCCTATCTAGTAGTTAGCCTACTCTAGTTCTAGTAACTAGGCGAGCCTGCCTAGCCTATCTAGCCTAGGCCCTCAGGGACCTAGGTTAGACTAGCCTATGCATTCCACACCTACCGGCCAAGGCCTAGCCTAACCGTCCTTATTACATCTCCCTGGTTGGTAGAGTCTAGGCCTAGGCCCTAGGCCTAAAGTTCTAACCAGCATAGCGTAAACCTGGTCTAGGCCTAGCTAGCTAGGCGCAACATTTTTATTTAGCATAGGTCTCAGGTCATATGCTCAACACCAACTTCTACGTATAGGACACATTTTACAGACAAATGAAAAAGACTTACGAAATAAAATTATTTCTTGTTTGTAAGCTAGCTCAGGCCTCTAGCCTAAATGCCTAACCTATAATAAAAAGTACACAAACCAAAGATCTTATAAACACAAGATAGCGTTCTCCGCGATTTACGCGTAACAAATAGAAGCGTCGGTCAAGGTTCAAAAGTTTCCCATTTAGCAAGAGGGCGTCATTCATACGCTATTACCGAAGAGAAAAAGTAATAAGCTTTGGAAGAGGGCGTCCTATCTGTTGCCATGGATCTGAGATGGTTCCTGTTCTGCTGTTCACAGGCGGTGTACTGTATGGTCAGATCAGAGCGGTCAAGGGTCAAAAGTTTCCAATTTAGCAAGAGGGCGCCATTCATGCCTTATTACAGAATTTGCACGCGTAAATCGCGGAGAACGCTATCTTGTGTTTATAAGATCTTTGACACAAACGGAGACGAATGATTGAGGGCGGGCCTCACGTGCGAGTGAAAAAAAACATAGAGCTTATGGAACGCCGTTACTGCCTTTGGTGGCTCTTTTCCGTTCGGCGCATTTGCTATTCGGCCCTTTTACATTACGTTCGGTGCTTTTACATTACGTTCGGTGCTTTTTACATTACGTTCGAACGGAAAAGAGCCACCAAAGGCAGTAACGGCGTTCCATAAGAGCTATTAATGAGGGCGTTCTTTAGGTCACATGCAGAGACGTGACTGGAGCGAGTTGAACTTGTGATTGCAGCGGCTGAAAGCGAAGCGCAGCGATATGAAACCTTGCCGTCAACAAAGTATATTTTGCTAGGCGTAGATGCTTAGCCTCCGAAATAGACTGATTTCACAAGGAAATAGGGCTTGCTGGTTGAGTTTGCTTTCATACAGAGGTGAGAACATATTTTTTTTCAAAACGTATTGAAGGTTTTTATGAAATGGATATTCTTGTTTTTCCTCTTACTAATTAGCTAGTGTTTGGATAAATATGCGTTGGCTGGAAACCCTCGACATTTTTCTACTGTAGTTAGTGCAGGCTAGCCTAGGCACTAGCTAGGCCAGCCTACTTACTTACTAAGAATGCTGGTCACTTCGGCCCAAAACCAAATTGGCCCAAACAAACTCGGACCAAAACCAACTCGGCCCCAGAAAAATAGTTGGTGGTCCCTGTGTTGTGAATTCAATAGTTTTATATAATAGTTTTATATTGTCAGTTTTTGCAAGGTGCTACGTTCTTCGAAAATCATATTGGGTGTTGCCAACCTGAAATAAACAGTTTACCAAAAAAATATTTACCAGAAATAACATTAGTGCACCTGTTTAATTCCAAAGTGTTAGATTTATTGAGAAAAAAAACCACAAAAAACAAAACCCTGCTGGGGCAGCCAGCCTAAAAAAACAGTAGGCTTACTGTTTACTTTAAAACTTTTTCGTAGTGAATTGAAAAAAAAACTTTGTATGTAGCCAGTTTGAATTAAATGTACCTGAACGTATATTCGTGTATTTTGTTTTGCCTTTCTTTAGCAGTTTTTAACAATCTTTTTTGTCGAGCTTCAAGAAAAGTACAGTAAATAAACACGGACACTCATTGCGCACAGCGGTGGTCAGTTGACGAGTTTCTACTCAGAACATAACACCATGGCGGGCAGGCAGCAAACCTTTTTTAATTATGACCTGTTTACTGTACACTGCCACCGACAATCAGCAGACAGCGTTCTCTAACGCTCACAGGAAACGGAGTCCCCAGCTCTAGAGTTGGAGTCCTGGTCCACCTCAGTTCCTGACCTTGCCACCAGGAGGAACCATGTGCAATAATGTCTTTGGACATTCATGTTTATTTTCAATTTTGTAGTAAACCTCATTCTAATTTTTGTAGCTTTGTGTTTGCGAAAATATTTGAAACAAAAAATAAACCAAAGAGCATGCTATGATATTATTGTTACTAAATATTTTCACCAGAATTTTGCAGGCGCCAACAAGTTAATAGTTAACAAACATTTTTCTTTACTCAAATTAGTTTATTAGGTAAGGTTGCTTAACTTTAGAGTGGCAATCATTATAAGTAAAAAAAAAAACAAACCTAAAGTTTAGTAATGAATAAGCACACAGTTTGCCTTTGTGTTGGCAGGATTGATTGGAAGAACATAATAAAGTAATCGGTTGAGAGAGGCATGCCATAGAATGGATCCATTAGGAGCTCAGATGAACACTGTTGACTCGTCTGGCCTCGAAGCCTGGTCTGAGACTGATGTTCCAAAATATACATCTACATGTACAGGACCCTCAAGGTTTCCCTGTAGGCCTGATATAAATAAGAAAATTGTGCTATGGTAAGTTTGACATCATTTTTTCCAGTTGAAAAAAGGTCTCTGTCGTAAGGTTGCTTATTCTGTTCTCATGCTCTATTAGGATTGACTGAGTTGGTTTCATACAGTATGAGGTAAAGGCAATACGACATTACAACATACTATATGTTGACTTAAAAAAATATATATTGTTTAGTTTCACAGAACACTTGAAAGTATCTATTTTCAATTAACATTTAGTTTTGTATGTATTGATACTGAATGAATTATTGATACTGAATGAATTATTGATACTGAATTTTTAAATCTTATTTTTTGAGTTTCACAAAGCATTTGAAAGAATTCTTTCTTTTGATTATGTACATTATTAACATATTAGTTTCATTTTTAATGGTACAGAAGGCTTATACTGTATATATCAGTATTACTGGAATATATATACTGTACAGCCAAGTTTTAATCATGTGTCCCTCATGTGAAACAATCTCTTTGCTAAGCCAAATATTGTTCAATTCTTTTCCTGTTTTTGATATAAAAAAATGCTAATATTTTACATAGTTCCCTCACTTATAATTGTGAAATGCTTTCTGTCACAGGGAAGGGAATATTAGCCAGCTGGACACTATTGCAATAGTCAACTCAACAAATGAAACACTAAATGACAAAAACCCAATCAGCGAAGAAATATTTGCCAAGGCAGGTCCAGATTTACAGAGGGAATTACATCAACAATTAAAAGGTAAATGTAATATTTAAATTTAAACAAAAATGTAATCATTTACAGGTTGGCATGAAAACATCAAGGCATCCACCCCATGTGGTTTGATAGGGGGTGTGAAGGAGATAAAGACCATAAATTAAAGTGCCATGCAATAGACAAGTCCGATTCCATACATACATTATAAAACATTAATAATTCAAATATAACAATTATAATAAATAATGATTAAATCATAAGGAATTGGAAAAAAGGCATACAAAGCAAGTAGAAACTTTCACCATGTAGCCCTAATAATAATAATGATGATAATAATAATAATAATAATAATAATAATACACACACATGATTACCCATAATACCCTATCAACAAACATGGAAAATTATTGGAATGTGCTCACAGCCTTTAATATACTGTACCACATAGCAATGTTTTCTGATTGATCAACATAATTTTTTTTTGCTCCTAGGTTGTAGGACAGGAGATGCCAAGATAACCAAAGGGTACCATCTACCTGCTCGGTATATTATTCACACAGTTGGTCCAAGGTTCAATATTCGCTACAAAACTGCTGCAGAAAGTGCCCTCTATAATTGCTATAGAAATGTACTCATGATAAGCAAGTAAGTGAAGTATTAAAATACTTTAATTTTTCAGTAAATTATTTCTTCCTAACTCAAGAATTTACAGGAAAGTTAACATAATTGATATTCTCTGTGCTTTAAAGACGATAATGCATTTATTAAAGAAATATTTTGTCCCCATTAAAATTCAAATGAGATCTTCCCATTACCATTTGAATACTGTACCAAATTACTGAGCTGCCATCTTTAATTAGTAGTTTCTACACACCAACATTACTATCAAAATCATTTGATGTATTATTTATTGCATTGATGTCAGGTCAGTCATTGTTGCATTAAGTATAATCTGTAGAAACCAAAGGAAAAGGATTTGATACCAGATCAAGGAAATATTAAACTTTTACTGCAAGCATACATGATTTCCTTTTATGTTATTGCCTGGGTTTACATCATGTGACCAATGAACATCTGAATCAAAATCAATAGGAACACCAACAATCCTTAATAGTTAATACGCCTTCACAATTCCAATTTGGTATCAGTACACATATTAAAGTGATAATAAACAGCCTAAATCAGTGGTGTATTTAACAAAAATATGATAAGCTTTGAGGCTCATTTCCTGATATCATATTTTTTTAAAATTCATAACTCCCTAACATACTGTATGCATATCATTTTTTTTCTGGGAAATGTTCTTAAAAGATTAATTTGCATCACTATATAATTTAAAAAAAAAAAAATTTTGACCTGACAAATATTAGGATTAAATAAGAATAGACAAATTTTAAATAGTGTACATAGGATACACTGTACCTATCACTGTTCCACTTCATTACTTTGCTATCTGATTTCATGTATTAGTTGAACAATCATCATATGATTATTCTTTTTTAAATATATCGATTACATTGCAGAGAGAACCATGTGACAAGTCTAGCTATGACAGCCATCCATTCTCTCAAGCGAGGATATCCACCAGAAGAGGGTGCTCACATTGCTATAAGTATGTAAACAAAAATTGATTTTAAAAAAAATAGATAAATGCATTGTAGATTGTTTTGTTTACTTCTATATTTTTCTAAGCAATATTTCCACTTCCATTTCTTCAAAGCCTACTACACTCAATAGAATAAGGATCATAATTTCAGCACATACTTTTTCAGGAACTGTGAGACGATTCCTTGAATTTCATGGAGAAGAAGTGGAGAGAATAATCTTTGTTATCAGCGGTATGAATGAGGTAAGCCAAGTATATAAGTACTAGTGTGAATGCCTAAATATGGTCATGATGACATCATATCATGACCATATATAGGCACATCAAGACTATATATGGGCATACAACAGTTTTTTGTTAAAGAAATTAAAGTATAGGATGGATTGTCAAGTGCATGTATTTTCCTTACTTATATTGATACTCAGAATGGTTATGATAATTAATGATGAAGGTATGATAAATTGTATAGCACCAATTGTCCACAAACTGAATGATATGCATATGCTTTGAATAACAACTACAGATTTTAATTAAGATCACATTTATAGTATACGTTATTCAATATCAGAAAGCATCCTTGAAGAGATGTTGTATTTTGGGGGGGAAAGTGGGGGAAGGACATCAATGTTACGTTTCAGATCACGTTAGGTAGGAAAGAGCTCCAAATATTGTCTGATATTGTGTCCATATAAAATTAATGTCTATTTTATAATGTACTAAAGTTAGATAGCAGCTGTTCTTAACTATTTGAGTACAATAACACATGCTTCCATATATTCAAAATTTAGTATTTTTATAATCCTTGCTTTCCCACTGTTTCTAAAAATCAAGACAATGTTTTTCCAGGATTCGTATGTGGAACTGCTACCACTTTACTTCCCACGGAATGAAGATGAAGAAAGCTGGGCATGCGATTTGCTACCGGAGAATGTTGGGAATGAATATGGAGAGCCAGTTATTCCAGAGAGGAAAATACGTATCATGGAAAAACCAACAAGGACTAATGTTGGTATGTGTGGACTTATGAATGTTTTAAATTAAAAATTTCTCTTATTATATTTGACCATCAAAACACACATAATGATATAAACAATTTATACACAGTTAAATCAGGTTTTAAACTACAAAATAGGGATTAATGCAAGCTAACTTAATAATTGAAAAAGAAATCAGAATTTTTATGTATAACAAACTGTAATATTATATGTGGCGAAGACAAGCTAAACCAGTCACTCCTCCCAAATTGTGTTTTTGACATAATGGCCAAAACATCTTCGAATGTTCAATATTTTTTCGAAGTCTATGTCATTGCACAAATTAAACTTTATATATCTATATAACATGCCATGTTGTTATTTTTCCCATTTTCGATGTTAAAACAACATCCTTTAACGATTTGGTGGAATGGTCTCTGCCCCGAGAAAAGGCCGAAATCGTAAATTTTGAAGGCTGATTTCTCAATACTGTTCTTTAAACAGCTGTATGTTTAAACGCCTGTAACTTCACAGTGAAAAGTTGGAGTTAAATGGTTCTAACTTTTGTGACAAGCGACTAGTTTGGCTTGTCTTTGGCACATATGTTCTTGATGAGGACTGAATGCAAAATATTTGTGTTTACATTTATTTAAAATAGTATTATATATTTTTTTAACCTCTTAAAAACAATTTTTATATTTGGTTAAATTGTAGAAAATGGAGATGATTTTGAGGAGAGCTTTGATATAGATATAGATGATATGAATGTGGGTAAACATGCATTTGCTGCGATGGAAAGAGACCCTGATTCAGCTCGTAAACTAGGTGAAAGGTCACGTGAAAGGTCACAAGGCGTCGAGGAGACTGCAGCTGATCAGAGAAGAAGGTAAATTAATTACATAATTAAACTATTTCAATGGTCCATATATGGGCATAATAGTGATGTCATATTATACCAAAATGCAGTATATCTTGTAAAATAAAATGCAAATTAAGATACGCCCAACATATACAAGATTTTGTTTTTAAAATCATGTTCGTCTTACGTCCAGATCGTCCGTAACACACATATTTACTACTGAAATGAGACTACTATCTGCTAGTGTGAATCAACTTTAAATGTGGGGAAATAAGATTTTGATGAACAATTAAAAGCCCATAACAAATGGTATTATTTGGAAGATTAGCGCTACATTTGGCTCCGTTTTTAGCCAGCTACATGCAGTATCAAAACCCTAAAGAATTCCGAATGTAAAACAGGTGGGTCACCTTATACGCCCAACATACAAAAATCGTCTTGGGGGTCGTGTTATACGGTAGGCAAATTGCAGTATTTGTCACAAAAACTTGGTAATTGTGGTGAGAGCTTTATTTCTTAAATTTAGTGTTCATCATTAAGTGCTCATTTCTATTCATACACGCCATACACACTGTGCCACTCACTTTATATAATTGTTATTGCTACTTCAATACTTCTGTTATCAGTATTGTTCTGCCCTGTATATATACATGCAAAAAAAACAGATCAAACATATTAATACAATGAACAATTCTCTGATGGCTGACTGAAAATAAAACTAATATGTAATCTTTTGCTGTCAACAATTTTGTTTTCACTCTTCGTTTGCAGATATGAACGTTTGTTACGTAAAGCTCGCAGTGACGATTTATCTGAGTTAGCTAGTTATCGATTCATCTACCAAACTGGAGTGGATATTTTTGGCCGTCCAATTGTCATTACCATTGGAAAGAATTTCCCTGCAGGAAATATTGACCGAGATAAGGTAGTTATTAGCGTAATAATGACATGCTATCTTGATTTCTGTCAGAGATCAATCAAGGCCTGACAAAGTGTTAACAAAAACAATATATATATAGGTACAGGTCTTCCTCCAATTAGAGACAGCTTTTGTGACTAGGGTTTCCATGGTCATTTGCAGCTTTGGTCTCTAATTAGAATATCGATAATATACATTTTTTTTATTTGGGACCACAGAAAAGTGGTCTTTAATTGGAGGTGGTCTATGATTGGAGGGGTCTTTAATTATAGGGAGACCTGTATTATTGATCTTTTGATACAGTTTCATGCCTGATATATCATAGATTTGCGTATTATTATTATTGTTATTATTATTATATTATTATGATATAATAATAATAATACACAAATCTATGATATATCATAGATTTGTGTATTATTATTATTATTATATCATAAATTTTATCTTTTTATATAGAATTTTATGTGGTTATTTTATTTTTTAATTTGTTTTCATTTTTCAGGTGCTATTGTATCTAATCCATGTTCTGGATCCAATTGTTAGTAAAGATTATATAGTAGTTTATTTCCATACACAAAGCACATCAGAGAACCAGCCAGAAATGAGCTGGTTGCGACAGGTATACCAGTTAGTGGACAGCCGGTATCGAAAACACCTGAAAGCATTTTATATAGTTCACCCAACATTTTGGTCAAAGGTCAGTCAACTTTACTCACTACAAAAACATTTATAGAATTTGTGTGAAGTTTTTTTTTCTTCCTGTCACTGGATAATTTCATTTATATAGATGTGCCTGTTAATATGTGAATGTACAATGCCCCTTTAAGTGAACTTGTGCATTGTATGAATATTCCAGTCAGAATGCCACTTTAACATGTGTCTTTTTTATTTTATCAGCTTGTCACATGGTATTTTACGACATTTACGGCATCTGGCATTAAGGATAAAATACACAGTCTACCAGGAGTTCACTTTCTCTACCACAATATCAACCCAGACCAGCTAGACATTCCACCATTTGTCCTAGAGCATGACATGAAGGTAGGTTATGAATATTCATGACACAACCAGTGACATCACATTAATCCAATGTACATTCATGTATAGATTTTACATATTCCAGGGCATATTAACCCAATGTACAATTGTGTATAGATTTTACGACCCATGAAATATTCAGAAATGATTAAAAGTGGTTCAGGTTGGGCAAAATTTCTTTATGTATGTATTTTCTTGTCACTTAGTAGTATGTAAATTATTAATAATTCTAACTTCTGTTGATTTATTTTTTATAGATTAATGGGTCAAATTATTATCAACCAATAGAAGAAGGAGAAAGTCCTGGTGGATTGTAATCTAAGAAGATGATTGGCTGAAATCAGTCCAGGTGAATTGTATTCTAAGAGTGTGATTGGCTGTTAAGTATTCAGGAGGATTGTAATATTAATTGATTAGCGGATAAAATTCCAGATGGACTTGCTTTTATCAAATGAGATGATTGATAGATAACAGAACGTGTTTGATTGGTGGGACAATAGCCATTTCTCTAGCAACAGAACAAAATACATCCTCAGTTTCCAAACATACAAAAATAATTTGGGTCTGTTACCTGTTGCCGTAAATTGACTCCCTGTCGAACAGCTTTCTATTTGTTTTTGGTAAAATAAAATTCAAAACTTCAATGGATACATTTTTGTTATTGTGCGTGTCATATACATGCCTTTTTAAAAAAATCTTTTTTGGAACGGCACCATGAGCAACGACTGTTGGAATGGGGCCATGAAAATGGAACGATTGATTGATTGATGCCTTGCCTAAGTAATACTGATGCATTTTGAAAAACAATGATGGGGGAAATTGAAGACATGGATAACAGTAGTAGATTTTTTGATAGTTTAGTTACTTTCATCCATTCTCATAATATGTTTAATATATGCCTGAAATTTTCATATAATTATTTTTAATTTTATGTCTTTATCTTTAAAGTAATTGTTATTATTTCATATTTGTGATTATCAGTCTTATTTGCATGTTTTTTTTGTACTTGTATTAACCGTAAAAATTTTTTTAATTGTTTAGTGTATCAGTAAACCATATAGAAATTGTTTATCTGTGGAAAATAACAAAATTGTTAGATATTGTTAGATGTGCAATATAGAATCAATATTTAACCTAATATTGCATAGTCTTTTTGTTTTTTATTTGCTAGTATTGAAGGCTTAAGTGAAAATCATGACAATTCAGTATAAGGTGTACACAAAATATACATAATTGTATTGTCATTGCAAAATATTGCTATTCATAATCATGCATTTTATTTCCTGTTTACATCAAGGCTTATTGTGATTGGTCAAATCCTGGCTGAGTTCAAAATCATTGAAGCATGACTGTCATAAATCAGTGGCGTACGCTAATCTAGGGTCTGTTGGTGGATTATTGTATGATTGCGCGTTAATACTGGTGTTCGCTACGCCGTGTAACTCGTTGTGTCTGAACAAAGACTATACTACGCTTAGCTACGCCACTGAATGTTATACATTACATAAAATGAGAGGGAGTCTCTACAAACAGTACAGCTTGATTGCTGACTTTGTACATATAATTAAGTTATTAGATTGTCAATTAAAAATTAGAACAAGAAAATGTTTTTCTTGCCAATTAACATATGCAAAAGCAACACTGTTTCTATATTATTTGCATAAACCACCCTTAAAATTGAATTGTCATCAGTTGAAGGACTTTTATAGCAAGAGTCTATAGTTCAATGAAAACATTATTTAATTTTTTTTATCCTTTCTAATGAGAAATACTATGTTTTAATGAACTTTTTAATTGTTTTTGAGATTGTCACATGTGGTATTGGGGGTTCATCAATTTACAAGGGGGGAGGCTCAATCTTTTTTTGAGCATGCTAACCCACAACTTGCTGAGCCAAAAACAATATTTTAATTCCTTGATCATAATCCAATCCAATTCAGAACAGCTCAATGTTTCTTAGTTTCTTTTGGGCACCAGTTGACCCAACCAGGAATTTACTTGCCCGAGACTGGCGACCCTGCTGGAAGTGGTTAGAGCTAAATATATATATCATAGAGTTACCACTGTAAATGGCCAGAAATATACATAATGAGAGATTAAGTTCAATTATATAATGTATTTTCTTTGAATAAAGTGCAGTACTTGACTTGTAACATTATATGTTTCATTTTGCTGTAGCTTCCATTATATATCGTTTAACATTTTGAAATATTGATTGAAGTTGCCTTATAATAATTATTACTACTTAGAATTGTTCTTACTTAAGTTAATACATCAGATTGCCTTATAGGAATAATTAATAGCGCTTTCAAAATTGCAACATATATGTAAATTAGCTAAGTTTATTACGTTTTAATGGGTACAAAGGGATCGGTCAGTTCGACATGGAACACAATAAAAAAACGGCTCTTTACATAAATTACATGTGCATACTGCAAAATGTTTATGTTTTGAAATGATTTGCAAACACATAAGAAGTGTACCCATTGGAAAATGTTTTTTAGAGGATATACATTTAATAAGTGTAATTATGCTGTACAATTATGGCAATGAGAGATTTACAGTTATTTACCCAAGAAATAAAATTTAAAAAAAAAAAAAGTATTAGGGATTCTTTTTATACTGATGATGGTTTTTCCAGGAACAAGAAATAAAATTATCAATATTTTTAGATATGTAGCTTCTATCTGTGTTGTTTATTGGAAAGGTCTAACATTGTTTACACTTACACAAATACCTGAGGTGCATATAAAAGGAGAATAGGATCTTGTTCAAGCAAAAAGGTAATACGCATTGAAGAATTTATTTCACTGTTAATTATACTGTAATTTACAAGGTGATGTTATCAGCATCATATATTGGCGTGGGGAGGTGGGGGCTAGATACACCGCATCTACATAGATTACAGCTTGATAACATATACAAATGAGGAACTGTACTGGTTCTGATAGATATTCCAACTTGCCAGAAGAAGTAAAAACACATTATGGGATGATATATCGTGGTACTCAAACATAACATCATTTAACAATACAATAAAACAATTACAAGGCAGACTAAATCCTGAAAAAATCCTTATAATCTTCGAGCACGTATACCTAAACTTCTCAAATTACAGTTCTCTATTTTACTAGGTGTGTAATATTTTATTATTTCAACTCAGCAATTATAAAACGCACAAGAATTGTAGACAACATATTTTAACAAACGATTACAACTCTATACCGTCAAGGGAAGTAATTAGCTCGTATGTCAAAGATCGCTTAACCTATAATTTCTTACAAAAACATCATCCACAAAGTTCAACCAGAAGTTGTACATTTTTAAAACCATCAACAATTAGAGACACTATTAAACGCAACATTTAAATAATAATTAGGTTGAAGTTTACCACCAAAATACTGACAAGCAAGCAACTTAATTTTCAAACAAAAATAATATGTGAACCATAAAATATACGTACTGTTTGTGACGTTTCAATCCGTTACCAACAGATCTTAATCAGGCAATGACTGATTATATATCTATATATAGGCCTATATATATATACTTATATATATATATATATATATATATATATATATATATTTATATATACATAAA